CGCTCACGTCCATATTGATAAATTCCAAGTTTTGTGTTGAAACGACCATACGCCCAATTTTCTGTCGTACGGTCATTTCGTAAATGAGGCCCATTGTACGTACATTGTACTGCGCTTTGTTGTTTATGATGAGAGAATTCGCAAGAGTCCGGAATTCAGTCAGCGAACGCGCACGCACTCAACAAAACTAATGAGTTTCAGCGATGACTCAACTGAACGCCTCTGATTGGCCATTGCATTCCTAAGCTCAACAGAATTGTGTGTGATTGGATAAAATGCGCAACACTTTAAAAACACCTAAAATGAAATATGGTGCAATATGATCAGATCTTAATTTAATGACACAATCGACACTGTCTATTCATTTTCACTTTGTTAGCAACAGACATAATATATTAAATTCTTTTGTACAGGGGCATTTTTGTCCAATTTAGTGCCATTTTTGCCCCAAGTCCCCCCATGGCCAGGGCAGGGGAAAGCCTTACACACGCTCCGCCTATGATATACAGTAATATTTTTTGCTAGATAAGACCCTTATTCCTCAGGTGGGATCGTGTAGAGCCCTTTGAAGCTGCACTTGAAGTCCACTATATGGAGAAAAATCCTGAAATGTTTTCTTTAAAAACCTTAATTTCTTTTCGACTGAAGAAAGGAAGACATAAACATTTTGGGTGCCGTGGGGGTAAGTAAATTATCAGGAAATTTTTATTCTGGAGTGAACTAAGCCTTTAAATGTTGAACTAAAACAGTTGTACTGCCTAACATCTTGTGGAAACCGTGATCTTTTTTTCAGGATTCCTTGATGAATATAAAGTTCAAAAGAACCACATTTATTTGAAGTAGAAATCTTATGTAACATGAAAATGTCTTCACTATCACTTTTAATCACTTTATTGCATCCCTGCTGAATAAAAGTATTTTTCAACAAAATAAATAAAAAGGCCAAACAACTGAACTGAACTGTCTTGTCATTTTTTCATAATGCATATGTAGTTTCAGGAAAAAGCATTTTACTGCCTTGGTTGAACATGTGACAAACTTTGAGCTGAGGTGTGTCACTGCTTATGATGCTCTATCTACCTTCACTCATAGCCCAAGTCCCCCCATGGCCAGGGCAGGGGAAAGCCTTACACACGCTCCGCCTATGATATACAGTAATATTTTTTGCTAGATAAGACCCTTATTCCTCAGGTGGGATCGTGTAGAGCCCTTTGAAGCTGCACTTGAAGTCCACTATATGGAGAAAAATCCTGAAATGTTTTCTTTAAAAACCTTAATTTCTTTTCGACTGAAGAAAGGAAGACATAAACATTTTGGGTGCCGTGGGGGTAAGTAAATTATCAGGAAATTTTTATTCTGGAGTGAACTAAGCCTTTAAATGTTGAACTAAAACAGTTGTACTGCCTAACATCTTGTGGAAACCGTGATCTTTTTTTCAGGATTCCTTGATGAATATAAAGTTCAAAAGAACCACATTTATTTGAAGTAGAAATCTTATGTAACATGAAAATGTCTTCACTATCACTTTTAATCACTTTATTGCATCCCTGCTGAATAAAAGTATTTTTCAACAAAATAAATAAAAAGGCCAAACAACTGAACGGCAGTGTAAATTCTGTCTTGTCATTTTTTCATAATGCATATGTAGTTTCAGGAAAAAGCATTTTACTGCCTTGGTTGAACATGTGACAAACTTTGAGCTGAGGTGTGTCACTGCTTATGGTGCTCTATCTACCTTCACTCATAGCCACAATAAATGATTTCATTTATGTAGGTGACCAAAGACCAAAGAACACCATATCTCTCCCAGCAGCACCCAACATTAGTCAGCACAAACATCAATGAACTTCTGCTCCCTGTCACACTCTGCATGACTCAGAACTCAAATGCTCTATACACATGACTTGCCTCACATGGTACCAAGATTTCACCAAAAAAAAGCTTATGAACATCTGTTCCTCTTTGCCTACCACAAGACGAACAGAGAGAATTTGACTTTGTCTCCTTATCCTTTATAATTAATAATGCATAATGCTCAGTAATGTTATGTTCTTAATTTTTCAATTTCTCAAGAATTTGTATTGCCATGCTAACACTTTAAACTGAAACAGAGGGAAGAGGAAATAGTTACTGTTTGTTTGCATTTCAACTGTTCAGCTTTTATCTTCTTATTGTTTTACTGCGTTAACACTAAGACAGTATCCAAAACCTGAAAAATGACATCTTATCAGGCAGTATCCATTAAGACACTTTTTTTTTTAAATACTACAGATTAATTTGCTAGCTTTATGAAGTGCAACGCTGGACTTCACTCTTAGTGTGAAAACTCACCTCAACTCCAAGGGCTTTAAGAATGTCACACTTGCACATTGGGCAGGTTCTGTGCTCCAGTAGCCATGGCTCTATGCAAGATTTATGGAAGAAATGACTGCAAACACAAAAACACCATACAGCAACATTAAGACCAGAAAGACTGGAAAAAATTCAGATTTATAGTGAAAACAGTGATTGAGGGAGAACAGAACGGAACGGAATGAAAGACAGACATACTTGCATGTGAGAACTGATAGTACATCTCCTGGTTTATACAACTCAATACACACTGCACAGGCATCAGCATCAGGGCCAGTCTCCTTTAAAACAAACACACATGCACAAACCATCAAAACATTGTTCAAACTGACGGTTCTTCACGTTCTTTGTATATCTGCAGTTATCCTGCTGATAACAAGCCATTAAAAATCTTTTGTCTATATATACGACAGTTAAAACATACAATACCGTTCAAAAGTTTGGGATCAGAATGATTTTTTATGTTTTTTAAAGGACTTTCTTATGCTCATCAAGGCTGCATTTATTTGATAAAAAATACAGGAACAATTTTAATATTGTGAAATATTATTACGATGTAAAATAAAATTTTTCTATTTTAATATACATTAAGTTAAAAGTTTTTTTGAAAGAAATTAAAACTTTTATTCAGAAAGGGTGTGTTAAAGTGATAAGAAGTGATAGCAAAGATTTATATTGTTAGAAAAGATTTATATTTTGAATAAATGCTGTTCTTTTTAACTTTTTATTCATCAAAGAATCCTGAAAAAAGAATCCACAACTGTAGCCAACATTGATAATTCTAATAATAAATCAGCATATTAGAATGATTTCTGAAGGATCATGTGACACTTTAGACTGGAGTAATGGCTAATGGAAATTTAGCTTTGCATCACAGAAATAAATCATATTTTAAAGTATATTAAAATAGAAACCATTATTTTATATTGTAATAACATTTTGCAAGATTACGTTTTTTTTTTCTGTATTTTTGATCAAATAAATGCAGCCTTGATGAGCATAAGAGACTTCTTTAAAAAACATTACAAGTCTTACTGATCCCAAACTTTTGAACGACAGTATACGTAAAAACACACAGAAAAAACACATAAATATAAATAGAAGCTCATTTTTACATGTGCACAAACAAATGTCTATATTTACATGTGCACAAACAAAATGTTGTGATGTACCTGATCCCCTTGTCTCAGTGTGCGGACCTGCAGCTGGCCAATAGCCTTCTTTGCTTCAGCTTTCAGCTTTTTCTGAAAAAAAGAGAACAGACAAACAGAGCTCAGGATGTGTGCGTGTCTTGGTGTTTTTGGTCTGGTCTCACTGGTTTTTCAAGAAGTGTATGAATATTGTAGAACTGCAACACGAGTATCAACAGAAAGTATATTCAGATGTGTTTGCTCTTCTGTATAAACACCTAGAACATTTAAGATCAGGATTATTAAGTAAATATAAAGGGACATCTACATTTACCTTTTACAAAAAATAAACTTATCCCACACAGAACTATTGCTGACTCGTTCACTCAGTTGATTCGCACATATAGTGGCTGCATTAAGAATGCAGACACTTGAGACACACTTAAAAATGTATGAATGTCAATGCATTAGATAACCAAAAACAAAAAGAAGCTCTAGCTAAACCACATTCACACATACAAAAGAGCTTAATCCAGATTCAACACTTTCACAGTTCAGACAAGAAAAGGAACCTGATTGCTGGTTAGATTTCATAATGAACCACTTCATGAATGCTTATGAAACTGGGGCGAGACTTTCCTCTCTCACTTCTGAAATTCCAAAACAAAAAAAAAAGGATTGTGTAAATTAACACAGGGCAGCAGATACAGAGTTTAAATTAGACATTGTTGTATTGGACCGCACAAAACCTTTAGCAAAGAATGGAAAAGGTTTATATAACAGACATAGACATCCCTTAATCCCATTAACAAATGAATATGGAATAAATAAATAGAAATGAACAGTAAAATCAGAAATTCACCCTGCAGTCAAAACTTGAATGCATCTGGATTTTCAATAAAAAAAAATGTTTTATTTAAATCTAAAGGAGTTAATAATCAACGCTGGAATTCTCTGTGCTACTTTTCTATGTAAACACATGCTAAAGGGACATTTTTGACCATTGTGCTTGCATCTCGCTTTTTATGCACCTCGCACGACACGGTGTTCCAAGCACTCAAAAGAAGTTAAACCTAAAAAATAAAAAGTGTTGTATTTTTTCGCTCATTCCCCTGCCTGCGTTTTTTTTAAAGCAAAAACAAGTTCTGTGTGAATGGCTCTATAGAGTATTTTAGTGCAACTTAATTTTTTATTTAATATTTGAAATTAATATATATAATTTATATAACAAAACATAGAACAATAACAAATCTATATACACACTATAGACCTTAGCCAGGTTAGATGCCATATTGAATTTAACTTGGAAGAAAATGCTGTGAGAGATAAATTTACAGCCGTCAAAATGGCACACACTGTATAAATGTCATAGATCAGGTCATTTTCACAACTCTGAACCTTCAAAACTGTTTTATGGAGGTTGTCTACTGAAAGTTTTCAGAAAGATATTTCGTCAGCTGAACAAGTGGTATGTTGTTCAACAACAGTACAATCTATTGAACACACTGTACTTCTATCCCTCATAGCCTTGTTTTCACTCCTTTCAAAAAATTAAATATGGCACTATTCTGACTAAGGTCTATAGACCAGTTATACCAAACAGCATACACGCATTCATGCAAGACCACACGAAGGTCTTAGTGAGGAAACAAACATCATACTAATGCCCATACTAAACATCAAACAAATGAGACACAATGACAAACTCACTCTAATCAACTGTCTCAGAAGCTATTTGTTTTGTCTGTCAACATGTTGAAGAGATTGACAACTGACTGTTCACCAGCAAAAAGTAGGCCTAAATCTAAAACTCGACAGTCCACCTTCTTTGCACACCTTACAGGCCTTTAAAACTATTTCTTTGGAGCTCTTTTCCATTCAATCAGTGTTATCTGAAAACATACAGTATGGGTCACACAGTGAATATGAAATTCCATGAATATGAATCACAAAATTCTTCTGTTGTGACACTGTCAATGCTAAGTACGTTTAAAGAAGGTAGTCATTTTTATTCCTCACACAAACCTCTAACTAAAGAATTAGATTTTTACTAAATACATTTATACATCTACAACTCATTTTCACTTACTTAAATCTATGTATTTAGCGGATGTAGAAATAAGCGACATTGTAAGCAGTTTATCATAATTATCAATATTTGCAGTTTAAAGTATACAATGGTTAGTACACAAACTAGAGCGGAAGTATAATGCAGAAAAGAAAAACAATGATTTAACTTTATGTTTTATACTACGAGTTATCACAGGAATTACCTTCACGACTGTAAATTATTTAGGCGTTCGCAGAAGAGGCATGTCTTCAGCTGTTTCTTAACGGGGTCATAGGATGCCCATTTTCCACAAGTTGATATGATTCTTTAGGGTCTTAATGAAAAGTCTGTAACATAGTTTGGTTAAAATTTCTCAATGGTAGTGTAAAAAACACCTTTTTTACCCTGTCAAAAACAGCTCTTTTCAGAGCATGCAGATTTGTAGCATTTTCCTTTAAATGTTAATGAGCTCTGCTGACCCCGCCCCTCTCTTCCGAGCCGCTCTCTGAGGGACTGTTTACTTTAGCTGCATTCATCGTGAAACTTGCTAATTAGCACATTATTAGGAAAGGCGATTTGCAAAGATTCATTAAAAAACCTTATACTCACTTCTTCTGTAGGTGAAGCTGGATCACGAATGATTTGAGTGAACATAGACGTATTTAGGTAGATCTGGGGCGCATTCCCTTCAAAAACAAACGTAATCCACTGCGTCTTCAGCGGCTCAGATGTCGGGAGTAAATGACGACTGCTATGTTCATTATTACATCCAACAACAGAAGACCTCAATCGCTTAGGAGTCATTCTTGTCTACA